CTTATATATACATATATATTAATATATTATCAATAAGCATAGATACTGATAGCAAATTATTAATTGACATTAAATTACCCCATTTTTGTGCGAGACTACAATCAATGCCTGTTTATTTACTGTTAAACCGTGTGTTTGAATGAGATTTAAAGTGACGTCAGCCTAGTAAGTTCGTAATTATGTACGAGGTAAAGTGTATCCATGTAAAACCCCCCAGAAAATATTGTGCGAGTGATACGTGTTATGATTGTAAGAAGTTATGATATTTCAAAAGAAATGAGCATTAGGAGATCCGATGTAAGTGTTCATAGAGAGACACGGATATTTTGTTTGCCCTCACAAGGCAGCGTTAAACCGCGTACTATACTGTACTATTAATTTCAATCTTTGTAATTGGCTGCATATATTTGAACAGCTTTTAATGTTCGAAAGTCTTTTGTATAAAAATTGTACAGATTTAAGTGGTGTTAGGCTGAAAGCTCCCTCTTCACCCCGTAGTACATTCCCTCACATAGGCCTTGATAAGCTGATATTAAGTGGTCTAGGCCTAGATTATTTTGTTTTCCGAGGGAGTTGTCCTCAATCCACGGTTGAACTTTGGATAAAACAAATGTTATTAAGTGTTATATGATGAAGTATTAACGGTTAGAGGAAACAGTTAGCATGTATTCCCGCGGGGTACATAATTATTTATTGACGACATTAAGCACATTCAAATCTGAAGGCGAATAGCTTAGTGTCGATATTTATTCATTACAGAAATAATCAATATATTTACTTTGTTTTATGATTACATTACTGTATCAGAACATGTGTTTATCCAATATGTTTGACTTTGATTCGTATATTTCGTTGTTATAATATTATCGCTTTATAAAGACTTGAATTTTTGTTTTTGAGAACGATTTTTTTAAAGGTAATAATATTCATAGGCCTATTACTTACTCATATTGACTTTACTCTGGTGGCGAATATGCATATTAATTACATAAATTATTATTTAAAAGAATGGTGACACTAAGGTATTTGTAGTAAGGAATACGACTATTATGGTGCAGTTACGTGGTATATATGCATTTCTAACCCAGTAGAATTGCTTAGGTTTTAATGTGCTGTACGCCGTGCTCATGTTTAACATAAACAGTAATTGGTACTGATATTGGCTGCATTTGTGGATTATGAAAATATTGTGCCATCACCTTCAACACTATGACGTGACGTACATCCGGTATTGTCTCTGTAGGCAGGTTTATGAAAACAAGACGGTGTGTCTATTAGGTGCTAAACTATCGGATAAACCATGGAGGTATAAAAATATTTTTATACCTCCATGGCTAAACTAACCACTTATATTGTAATGTAAAGCCTAGACTAGATTTCAAGTGTGAGCGTTGGCCCACTTGAAGAATAGGCCTTTGCTCCGACAGGCTATCGGATGGGTTTATAAACGTACGGTGGACATCTGATGTATCGAAATGGTACCATGATGATTAACATAATCTTGATGTAGATAAATCGGGTGTAAGCTAAGGGATAGCTAACAATGGTGGATATATGAAAGACGAGGTATTTTTCTGAAAAGAAGAGAAAGAGTGTGCAAAGTAATAGATATCTTTTTTAAATGATAAGGATGAAAGGAACAGTGAAACTGAAATTATATGTTTTAAGTTGTACTTGGTTTTATGTACATGTATAGTATCTACGATTTATGTTTGTATTACCTGTGAATAAAAGCAAAGATTTAATAGGTTGAAGTTATTTTAGATATCAGTTTTACATATAGACGGGAGATCACTAGCTTAAATGAATTCGCATTGGTTTTTTTTATTCGTTCCTAAACGCAGGATCTCCCACACCGATTATTAATCAATTATTATACAAATACGTAGACTTCTATTGGTTGAATGATTAAAATGTTGAACCCATTATAAAATGTGTCACGGAGACTTTGTTTCTGTTCATGGTCTTGTCGCTAAATTAAAGCAAAGTGAACAAAGTATTGGGAATTTTATAAAGAAAGAATTAACATTAATTTTATGAGATTTGCTTTTAGCGGTATTGTTGAGAGGTGAAATGGTATACTGATGAGGATGGTAATGTAATGGGTTGACGACGGCGACAACGATGATGGTGATGATGATTATGATATAGTATGATGATGAAATACTGTTTGAAAGTTCGCATGGCGAAGTAATAATAGGCCTATATTAAATGCTTGTCGTACATCACGTATAGTTCTGACAAGAACTCTTGTGTTGAGAATGTCTCAACGTTTAGATTGAGTCGTTTCAATCGTCATCGGGAGAATAAAGATGATAGGCCTACCATACGGTAACGAAAACATTAAATACGCTAACACTCAGTCTTATTTCATATTGTATTTTGTAAATATAGCCAATTTGTAGTTTAAAATGTACATCCGTCCCTACCTAAGGTCAATCGTCAAACTAGTGGCGGCTCTATGGTATATTTTCTGGGGGCGGGTGGCTAAGCTGTCCGACAGAGGGACTTGAGCTCGTAGGCCCAAGCTGGGGGAAGGGTTTTAGATGGTGTTCTCCCTCCCAGAAATGACATTCTTAGACTGTGACAGGCATGTGTTGGCTTGGCGTGGGCCTATTTTTATATTTTTTTAGTCCGACTGCCCGACGAGCTCTGTCCGGTGGGGGGGCTTAATCCCGTGCTGTCCCCCGCGGGCGCCGCCACTGCAACATTGTGTGTATGTCTGTTTAATGTCGACTCACCTTAATAAGGGAATGCACAGTTCAAACTACAGATTGCCGTATTTCAGCTCAGTTAGTTCAAAGCTCAATGTGAATTTTGACTTGTTATTAATATTTTTTGTATTGCAATTTGGAATGTATATATTACCATTCGAAATGATGATGATCGAAATGCCTCACGCCGAGGCGGTGCTCTCGTATAAACGCCTTACTCACACCAAAGGTGATTTTTTTTTAGAAGCCATATAACACTTCCATACGCCTCTTTAACCATAGGTAGGATGTGTTTGTCTTGTAGGCCCTGTAGTAGAACTATTTGGCAAAATCGCCGGCTCGCACCAACATTTCACAATCCCCAGTCTTTCTTATTGTTGACTCTGGCAACCCGTAGATTTTCCTGAAAGTAGCTAATGTACCGTAGCTTCTTTTCTAAATGTTATTACTTAGCCCACGCTTCAAATGGCAAGACCGACATCACTTATATTTTCTTTACCTTCCTTTGTTTCCGATTGTTTTATTCAAACCTAATTATCGCGCTGTTCGCAGGTGTCCTTATTCTATGGTAGATTTGATATGTTGAAAGAAATAACTTTATTACGTGTAACAGAGATGTCAAGATGTACTTATAGCCTAGCATGCATGCACACACACACATACACACACACACATACATACATACACACATACATACATGACATACATACATGCATGACATATATACATACATAAATACATACCTATATATACATACATATATATATATATATATATAAATAACACATCTAGATGTGTATAAGAGACAGTGTATATACAGTAATAATCTTCTCTGCCACCTTTACCGTTACTATTGATTCAGGGATTCAGGTGTCCCTCGGGGTGGTGTTATTACTGTTGAATACTGCACAGTATTACTGTACTCACTTCATTGTTGTTTTACAGTGAGGGGTGGGCATAAATATCGGTTGGAGGTCCAAAGTGAATTTTTGATTTAACACCGAGGGCCGCACCCAAACTTTAATGTTCACAATGTGCTTCTAAAAAGTAAACAGCTTTAACATTAATTTTTACAGATGATCAGTGTTGGGCTTTAAAAAAACAAGGTGTTTTCTAGTCAAAAATGTTTGGCGGGCCGCACACATAAGGTTTTTAATTCATTTTCGCGGGCCGCCCACCTGTGTGTTACACCGTATGAGTTCAGTATCTAAACTGGAGAGGGCGTATTTTATAATTACTTTTGTTTCATCAGTCAGAATCACGTTTCATAAGTTGTGACGATTTTTACTCTATTCAGGAATTTCTGACACCTTACCGTCAAAAACTTATTCAGATCCTCAAGAGAAAACAAAATGTCACACCTATTGCACAGATAAGGCTAAAAGAATTTTTAGTTGTTTTTTCGTTTAAACTTATTTAACATTTTACTTCATCTTCAATTTGTTCTTATTTTGTTCTTAATTTTCAAGCAATTTTGGCCTCGGTGGTTTTATAGAATTGTTCTTATGTATGAAAAAGTGTGCGGGCAATTTATGAGAGACAGGGACAATAAATTTGAATTACCAAACGTTACATCTACGTCCTAAGTTATTTTCACAGATGCCAGTTCTCGTGCATATATACCGGTACAGTGTAGGGTAAAATCGGATAGACAAAAGTTGAAACTACCCTTGCATGAGAGACGAAACATATTGACCACAATTTTAACTGTATATATAACAGTATATATATACAGTATATATATATATATATATACAGTATATATATATATATATATATATATATATATAATATTTAATAAAATATATGTCGTAGAAAGCTTCGAGATCAATTAGGTTGTGTTCTCGTTAGGCATATCACTTTCAATAAGTTCTGAGAAACCGCCGAAAATCAAGAGACACACTTAGCAGCACTTGATACAGCCCCCTCTACGACAGAATTAACTATTTCCAAAGATCTTATAAACACAAGATAGCGTTCTCCGGGATTTACGCGTGCAAATTCTGTAATAAGGCATGAATGGCGCCCTCTTGCTAAATTGGAAACTTTTGACCATTGACCGCTCTGATCTGACCATACAGTATACCGCCTGTGAACAGCAGAACAGGAACCATCTCAGATCCATGGTAACAGATAGGACGCCCTCTTCCAAAACTTATT